AGATCCTTTATTTAATTTTCTATTAGGATGCAGATTACAAAAACAATTTTAGAACAGGTATTCACAATTCTAAGTTAATGGAACACACACTCACCCAAACAGCTGTTAGCACACGACTGCCACTACCACAAACCTCATCCTAAAATGTCATCCTAGAAATTACTCGTACAATTAAAAGCCCCTTTTTTATAGAGTAATTTCTTATTATGTTGCACTATCGCCTTCTAGAAAATATCCTGCTCACAATAAAACGTTCTTAGACTAAAAGAGACAGGAATGATGATGGTTAGGCTCAGTTTTTGGAACACAAGATTCTGCATTTTTGAACTCAAAAAGGTAAAAAAAAGTGTAGTGTTGCAAAAAGCCCTTTCACTAGGGGTCTGATCCTTCCTGCAGGGAAATCAGTTGGGGCTTTGCTATTGGACTGAATGGTGGGACCCAGCCCTAAATGTTTGGGATTTAACAGAAGCTACATCCCTGAAGCAGCCTCTATTCATGGGATCGGGCCCACAGCATAAACAGTCTATTCTTAGAGACACGTCGTTGAGAAATGGATGTTTCTGTCCTTCGACATACATATGTGGTAGAGCTGCTAATGAACCTGAGGCGAGCGACTCTGAGATCATGCTGCTGGGAAACATAATTCTAAGAGCCCTTATGCCACGGAGCATTTCAACAAGATTTTATAATTATTTTGGTGCGCGTTAACAAGTATTTCTCTGAGCAAACCTTATAGATTCACTCTTTTAAAGCACAAAACACATAGCGATCCCCAAAAGATTATAGAGAAAAGAAATGTACAACCATCAAAACGTTTGTGTTGATGATGACAAAGAGCGCGTGCATTAAGGATGCATCAGCCCCCTCATTAGGGCATTATTCAGCAAAACCAACTAATCGTCTACAAGAAACCAGGTGTAAAGAAACATTTTGCTATGCTTATATCTATGGGTAACCGTCCAATCTGCCCTGCATGAGATACTCCACCAAGCAAAGAGCAAACAAAACCACATCCTTTATGTGATGAAACGGGAACTCCTGATAATGCTCTAAGTCACGACTCAAGGGAAAATGCCAACTAAAAGCTCAGATCAGAGGAAGGTTTGTAATACAAACCTGGATGTTTAAAATAGCATTTCCGTTGCTGTTCCTGCAGCACTTATGAATGTGGATGTGCTACTGCACTGAACTGACTATGATTTAGCAGCGGATCGTGTCTCTTTTAAGCATAATTTAGCATTATTTCTGCTGCTGTTGAATGTACTAAGCTACAAGAAAAAAAAAATCTGCTTTCAAGTGGTATTAGAGAAACATGAGGATCAGAGTGCCAGCATCAAAGATGTGTCTAAAGAATAACAGATCTGCACGTCTGCCAGCAACGAGCGCTCACTCCCCACTGAAGGTAACAGAGAGAGGCTGCTTGGCAGTTGGTTGAAATAATTAAGCAGAACATAGATGGCCTCTCGATCGCGAAGCGAGACACAGAGCAAAAGGCACCCCCGTGTGCCCGCCTCGCTCGCAAGGCGATCATCACCCCAAACCCGGCTCGCGCGGGATAAAAATCATCTCAGCCCCATCGAGGCTGACCCTGGGGAAGGAGCCATTCAGAAAGGCTCTCATCACCCTGGCCCTGGTCTTGCTTTAAAATGGCTCCTGATCTCATTCACTTAGGGCTGAAATCTGGTCTCACGCTTGCCACACTGTGCGGCCAGGGGAACTGGAATCACCTGGATATGCAAAGAGGGCTTAGACAGGGAAACGTAGGGGGAATTAGCAGCATGGGAGGCTGAGGAGCTGGGAGAGGAAGATGAGAAGCATGGATGCTACACCTGGATTTCCTGGAGCTCGGCTGAGCCGGCTTTGAGGCAAAGCCCCCCTCGGCTGCCGGCATGGGTGGGAGGGCTGGACGCAGCCGTTTGGCCGCGTTGTGGAGCAGGGACTTGCCTTGGGCACTGATGAGAAGCAGCGCCACGTGGCCATGGTCCCCACTGCCCAGCAGCCTTTGGGTAGTCCCCAGTCCATGTGTGGGGGCAAAGCAGCCGCCACCTGAGCTCCGGGGGGCTCAGCCCCTGTGCCTGGGGCTGCGGCTGCCGAGGCCAGGGGGGCCCCGCGGGGGCAGCGGCAGCGCAG